TATATATATATATATATATTCTTTTTTTTTTTAAGGGCTGGTGCAATAGCACTGCTTGCACCAAGAGGATGTTGCAAACAGTACACTAGTCAACACTGCAGAAATCAAAACTCCCTAGGGCCCTGTAGCCAGTATCCCCTGCACCCACATTTCCTTATTGTGCGCCACAGTTTGAATGGTGAATGGAAAAGCCAGCCCTCGCTACCATGGCCCTTTGATAGGCCATGCTCATACTGTTCCAGCAGACTTGGTAATGAGACATTTTAATCCCTTAGCTGCTTCACAGACCATTAAAAAGGACTTTTCAGGGTCAGGACTGGTAGTTTCAGGTGACTTGTACCAGTGGAATCTTCCACATCTTGAATGCTGTTTAGAGTTAAAACATGCATTCTGATTGACTTAAGAGTTTATGCTTATTTCAATTCTCTATTGCTGCTTAACAGACTACCCCAAAACTTAGTGGCTTTAAAAGGAACAAGCACTTATTTGCTCACAGAACTGTACCCTGGGCAGGAACAGCCTGTCTTTCTCCACTTGCTGTTGACTGGGGTGACCTGGCTGGTCTAGAGAAAGAAGATGGCTCCACTCACACGTAGGGCATCTCATTTGAGGTGTTGGAACATTGGAGGTTGCTGGGCCTCTCTCCATGTGGTCTCCTCTATTCCTGGGCTAGTTCAAGCTGCTCTCTGTGGCACCAGCTAATGGAAGTGGAAGCTGCCAGTCCTCTTAAAAAGTGGTATATCACCCTTCCACTGCATTTTATGGGTCAATGAAGACAACAGGCCAGCTTGATTCAAGGAGAAGGAAAATATACACACAAGGGGAAGAATTATTTGGAACCTTTTGGTATAAGGGAAGAGTAAGCAAGCAAAAGGGAGATAGTTAATGGAATTATGGTGTCTGTTACAGAAAACGTTTTAGAACATGAGCCCTGAGAAAGCCTTGCTCAGGATTATAAGGCCAGGCAAACCTCAGAAAGATTATCTAATAAATGCCTGGGGTTCTTAATCTGGTCAGCTTCAAAGGTTCTGTGGACCTCTTGAAACTATATGCAAAATGCTGCCAATATATGCTTTTTTAATCCCTGGAGGAAGGTGGAAATCTATAGCATTCAAAACATCCTCAAAGGAGTCTATGATCCAAAAAATATAAGTAACGATTATCCCATAACTGACAGGCAGCATTACACCCCAATGGATGAACCAGCCTTGAAATTAAGCAGCACCCCACAATTCTAGTACTTAAAAAAAAAAACAGAGCTGTTCCAGTCAGCACAAACCTGTCTTATATTTTTCACCAGAAACCTGTAAGTGTATTTTCTGCAGGAAGATACTTCAAAATTTAAAGTAAAGATCACATTTCAAGGTTGAAATGTTCTGCAAAGCCTCTATGGGTAGAAATAAGTCAAGGTCAAGAAGACAGCTGGGAGGGGGGACAGGGAAGAAGGGGGTCCCTGGGATGCACAGATGGAAAATCGGGGGTGGGAGGGCATGTGCTGGCCCCAGGCTAATTGGACCATTGAAAGGAGTCAAATGGCTTCCAAATGATAGAATTTAAGGAATTTTCTCCAAAGTCTTTTGAAGCTGTATCTAACATCTTTATTTTTCTCTGCAGTCATGGGACCCGATGTGCAGGAGAAGTTTCTGCCGCAGCCAACAACAATATCTGTGGAGTCGGAGTGGCATACAATTCCAAGGTCGCAGGTAAGCTGTCCCTGCCAAACAGCAGGCCCTGTTCCAGGCAACCAGCCGCAAAACGCATCACACCCTGGTGTCTAGGCTAGCCAGAGCCTGGCAAAAACCCCCACTGTGGGTGGATATCTGGTATTCCTAGATTTAGCAAGAGTGAAAAAAATATATTTTTATTTTAACCTATATGGCAATATTAATAAACTTAAAAAAATTTTAAGTATAATATAAGTACAGAAAAATACACAGATCACAAACATACCGCTTAATGAATTTTCACAATCTGGCCAAATCCATGTAGTCATCAAGAAACAAAATATTACCATTACCAGCATCCCAAAAACCCTCCTCATGTTCCCTCCCGATTACTACCTATACACACAAGAATAACCAGAATCCTGATTTCTAACATCAAACGTTGGTTTTGTCAGTTTTTAAACTTTATATAAATGGAACTGTATTGTCTGTACTCTTTTGTGTCAATATCAATAACATCTTAACGAGACTCAAACACTGTACAATATAAAGAGATGTGTATAAAGTGTTATAAACATACTCAGAATCTTCAAAACTTTTATTGTTTTTTGTTTTTCTGATTGGCACAATGTATCTCATCTTTCGGGAAATATATTTTACCTAGAACCTTTTTATTAAGTTCCACAGGAAGGATATTTAACAATTCCATCTTTACAGAGGGCTTTAGAAATGAGGGTGTCAAGTCACTAGAAACTTAGAAACCAACACCTGTCCTAGCCCCACACCAAGAAAAGAGGGAGAGAAAGAGGATGAGAGAGGGGTTTATCATCTTTCAACAAGCTGCTGGAGAACAGAGTGGCTCCTGGCTCATTCCAAGTTTTGTATCAAATTGGTTCTTAATTTATTTAGGCTGAGTCATCCAACCTTGTTTTTCTTTTTTTACAACTGTCTTCATATTTTTTCCTGGTGATTTAATGGAACCATAAACATACATTGTGCTGACACTTGCATTCCAGGGATCTAAATAAAGCAAAAGCAACCTATACAAACCCACCATTAACCTCTTTCAACACTGTTTGCTAAGAGGCTTGCCTGAGCTGGGTGCTGAATTTCACAAAAGAATATATCTGGAAGCTTCTGAAATGTAAATAGAAGAGGCTTTGCCCCTTGGGCTTCAGCTCTCTTTACTTTGCGTGCATCCAAAATGCTGGCATTAAAATGTCAGAAGCTATCACGAGCTCAGGGGAAAGAATATCACCCGATTAATATTTTATAAGCAAGGCTCTTACCCTCAGGTGGTAGCTGAGGCGAGATGGGTTTTCTATTCACAAAGCAGAACTGGAGGCAACTGAAAAATTCAAACCTGGATTTCCCATTTACAATTATTATCTTCAAAATAGTTTTGAAGGGTCTATATACCTCAAGCCATTGGTTTGTTTGAACCAGGCATTCTTAGAACTACTACCTGCAAAAATTAAGAGTTAGAGCAGCTCAAGGTGTTCTGGGGGTTATTGGGGTCCCGTTCCCTATCTGCTTCCTCTATCTTTTTCTCTGAAAGTATCTGAGCTGTTCATCAAATGTACCTAATTCTTTTGAATTCTCTTCATTTGAATTTCCTAAAAGCAAACCCTGAGACAAGAATTTGGGTGTATAGAGGGAGAAGAAATTTCCCTCTACCCTTTTAGTCTCTTCTGGCTGGTACAAGAACTAAACTGACATGAGACAGATTAACAGGAGAAAATAACCAAATTTAATTATGTACATATGTACAGGGGAATCCATAAAAATATGGGACCCACAGACAAATCAGGCAGTTTAGTTTATGTGCCATCTTGAGCTAAGGAGAAGGGGGTAGTGGTTTGGGACTTTGAAGGGGAGGAAGGGAATTCGCACAGAGATGGAAAAACAAAGTTTGATAAACAAATGTTTTCCGGGCCAGCAGAGACAATGGGACACAGAGCGGACTCTGATTTCTAGGCCCTGCAGGGTATCCCCCACCACACCAGGTTCATATCACATTATGGTTGTCTGTGGTGAGCGCTCCCTTCCTGGAAAAGCCCCTCTATCTAAATTCTTTTAGGCAGTAAGGGGAAAGTCAAAGGTTCTTCTTGAGTCTTTTATGTCTTAAAAATAAAATAATCCTCATGCCAGAGAGAGGCAGTTTAGGGTGGCAAATTTTGCTTCCCTCCAGGTACAAGGAGTTTATTTGGAAGGTGACCGCGGGAAGCAAGAGTGAGGGTAATGCGGCAAAGGGCGGGAAGCCAAGAAGTATGTGTAGATGAGCTGGTTGCTCCCATGGATGGCTAGGGCTCTGAGGGACTATGGGGACACCTTCAGAAATGCACCCCCAAGGTGAGGAGGCTGGGAATTTATCCATCAGCTCACATCCCTCATTGGTGAGGAAGTCTCCTGGGCCACAGGCACCCTGGTGTCCAGCCTAACAGCTCACAAGGACTGAGCACAACGCCTAAGGCAGAGAATGCCCCCAGGCAAAGACACTTGGCTCGAGCCAGCAGATCCAGGCAGGGTGCGACAGCCTCTGCCTCACCTGCTAACTAACCCCCAATCTCAAAGGTGGGTGAATGCAGCCTGATACCTCAAAGATATGGCCTGTGCTTTCTGAAACCCTCGCAGCAATGCTTTGAAATTTCAGGAATCAAGACCAGAGCTGGCAGGAGGCATGGCCAGCCACACAAAAGTTTTCTCGGCAAAGCAGCCGCCTTTCTCTCCCTTTCCACTCCCTTAACCCGGCTTTGCTCCTCTGTAACCACTCATGGTGGTTCTAACTACTCACGGGCCAGAAAGCTGTAGTGCCCTGTCCTGTGCCCTTTAGTGCATCCAGTGTTCTCTAGGTTTCCCCCAAGAGGTCAAAAAAGAATTCTTCATGAGGAAGTGCTAGAGAGTTAATCGAGAATCCCAACAAAAGCAGAATTTCAGACTCCTCAGTCTTACATATTTAGGGGGAACAGTTTGTTTATTCTGGTTGGCAATTTCAAAAGTTGGCTGATTTTTATTATTCTAAATGAGCATACTCTTCCAGTGAACCTTTCCTTTCAGGGACAATCTGATCTGGGGATGTTTAGATCGCCACCTGGTGGCCAACCACGGTCATTGCTAGTTTCTGGCAGTTTCAAGGTGTTTAGTTTCAGACTGGGGAGGCATTGGCAGCAATGTCCCAAGTCCTTCCCAGGTCCTGGGTCTCTCTTTATCATGTCTTTTTAAAAAAAAAACGGCTAAAATTAAGGTGCCATAGAATCTTAGTCCAGAAAAAGAAAAGAAAGTGGAGATGAGATTATAAAATAAGTCTTCTGAAAGTTAAAGGAAAAAAATCACTGAGCATCTCTTCATTTGCCTGTTAGCCTCGTGGGTCCTCTTCTATTATAAACTCTGCTCATTTCCCCACTGGAATTCTTGTCTTTTTCTTGTTGATTTGCAAGCGTTCATGGTATGTCCTAGATATTAGCCCCTGATCAGTTTTAACCAATGCAAATATCTTCCAAACTTTCATATGAGATCATTTGTCCATCTGGATTCCACCTTTGTATGTCATGCTAGCTGGGGGTCTGGTTTTATTTTTCTCCAAATAGTGAGTCAGTGTTCCCATACCATCTGTTCAATAACCCATCCTGTCCCTTTGATTTGTGGTGCCACCTCCATTGTATAAGTTCCCATACATACATGGTTAGCCTCTGGATAAATACAATTTAGATAAATCCTTCTAACAAACATAAACTAGAAAGTGTAGCCACACTCCTGCTACTAGTCAGCCTTTGCATATGCGCTTTCCTCTGCCCAGAATCCCTCCCCCGACACTATACCTGGTCACCCGCTCTTCCTCCTTGCTCTCGGGCTCCCGTTTTTGCTCCAACACCACCTCCCGGACCAGTTTCCTCATCTACACTTGATAAAGCATGTTGAATTTTCCTTCCCAGCAGTAACCACTGTTGGTTATTGCATATTTTTGCGCATGGTTATTTGATTAGTATGTTCCTCCTCAGGCAGACAACAGTCTCCACGAGGACAGAGGTCACGTTGCTCACTTTGGCAACTAACACAGGATCTGTACACAGTGAAAGCTCAAACCCCATTTGCTAAATGATAGAAAGAAAGGAAGGAATACAGAGGAGGGCCAGTGAAGAAACCCACTACAAGTAGAGGAGATGAACTGCTGAATGAAAGAATGGGTGGATGGTTGGAGTTGAGGGATTAAGGACGTACATTTTTTACCCAGAAAGCGAAAGTATCTCCTCTTCTACCAGCATGATCTCACCTTTGCTCCTTTATTGCAATCAAATCAGTTCCAAAAAAACCTGGGCCTTACTGTTGGGTGCCTACCATGTGCCCGGTTCTGCTGTGGGTGGTGGATACAGCAGTGAGCCTGCAGACAAGACACCTGCCCTCACACAGCTGACAGTCTAAAAGAAGACTCTGACAATGAGCAAATAATCAAGATAATGATTGCTGATAGGAACAAAACAAAGCAAGATGTCAGAGAGTAACTGGGGTGGGGCACAGCAAGCAACTTGAGGGTGGACTCTATCGCACTGCACCAGGGTGCTTCTCAGAGCAGCCCTAGGGTGCTTCCAGGCCAGGTGAGACTGACCTTACCTTCCTTTTTAAGCCACAGCATACAGGTTTATGCATGGGGCTTTGGGATGAGATCTCCTTTGATCAAAGATTCTGAAGAGTTTGAAAACCACACTCTTGACAATTGTTGAAATATCTCCACCAGGAACAAATAGCTTACACCTATCTGGCAAATAAAACTCATAACATTTCCATGGGTTTACACATATTTTATCTGAGTTTTTAAATAAACCAATAAAAATCACCCATTATCATGATTACCATTTTTTCAAATCCTTAAAACCAAGATCAGCGTGAATTTGCTCCTTAGTCTGCAAACTAATATTTATAAGCAACAAAAGGTGACAATTAGAGACACAGGTTTGTGGACAGATGTAACATTTCCTGGTGTCAGGTACAAGGTCACCTTTTATAATAGGAGTGGGCAGAAAGGATTAGATCAAATCCCCTGAGCCATGAACCCCTAGAGCCCAGAGCTAGCAGCAGTGCAAACTGTGCAGGCAGGCCCAGACCCTAAGGGAGGAGGGAGGTACAGAGTTACCACTGGTCATTAACGGTGATCTATCCTGGAATGGGGGAATAGATACTTTATATGCACTGTCCCTTCACCATCAAATCACATCAGCCAATAGAGCTTTTTACAAACATGAAGACACTTCATCCTAGCTCTCTGGTCTGCTCTCTCTCCTTCTGCCTTTCACTCTCACTCCCTTGCCTTCCCTCTTTTCTCTCTCTCTCCCCCTCTCTCTCTCTCTGTCACCCTGTTATTCCTAGAGAACCCAGGGACAGAAGAAAGGCCCTCCCTAAAAACCCATGGGTCACCCTGAGCTTGTCTTTACTGCTAATGGTGCAGTCTCTTGCAAAAATTAATGCTGTGTCTCATTCAATTAATGCATGCCTCATTCCTCCCGAGCATAACGAGATTAAAAGAATGTCGGGCGCCTGGCCCCTGAATACGAATGAGAGCCTTGCTCCCAGTCTGTGGCCGCCCTTGTCTCCCTTGATGCTGAAACAGTCAGAAGATTAATGCACACCAGCTATGATGTTCTGTGCAGCACAAAGGGACACAGAGAGAGTATGAAGAGAGAAAGAGGCAGAGGTTCAAGAGCTGCAAAGAGAGAAGGTACAGGGCACAGCTGGATACACCACACACTGGTTGTATGACAAAATCCAGTGTTGCCATTAGCTGGCATGTGGGACAGTCCAGGCCTACTTTGGCCAGGGTTGAATTTCTCTCAACTTCCAGTTGAAGTGGCTGTTCAGTCCTGGTCATCTGGGCACTAGACAAGTTCAAGACCATCTGAGTTTTCCTCTTTGCAGGAAAGTGAATACAAGACTCTGCATTGTTTCCCCATCCACAAAGTGGGCATGACTTCTTGCAAGAAGCAGATGCATTATTTGGTTTAGTCTGTGATGTGTTGGCTACCTTTGTTAAACAAATTTTTTAAATAAGTAAAATATAGATGGATCAAAAATGAAAGGTGGAGTTTGAAATTTCCTATACTTTATAAAATGAACCATAAAACTGAGCTTCCAGAAAGTTCGAACCATAGACTATACTTATTCTGGAATAGCATCCTCCAGGACAAAGGATGTTAACTTATAATTGGATATTTGTTGGCAAAAGTGTTGACTTGATTTATAAATTAATGGTAGAGGACAGACTATCTGGATCTGTTATTATTTGTTCTTCTGGACTTTTCATTTCAGTTATGGAGAAAGTCAACTAAATAAAGTAATAATACCATGCATTTATTCACCAAATACTTATCAAGCTTAAGATAAATTCCAAGCACAATGCTGATGCCCTAGGACACAGAAGTGAACAAAATAGACACACGCCCTGTGTTCACAGACCTTGCTATCTGGTGGTGAATGAAGCACACAAATAAATGATTGTAATGGAAGGCCAAAAGTGCAATGCTAATGGAGGATCCGAAGAATAGGGACCAGAAAGTCTTCTGGGGAAATGTCTACTAAGCACATAGATAGTCAGGAGTGGAGTGAGCCCTGGGAGAAGTTACAATGCAGTCACAGGGGTGGGCTATGAGATGTTGAGGAGGAAAGACCTTAAGAGAGAAGAAAATTTTATGTCATTTGCACATGCCCTGCAAGAATCTCAGTTGTTGCAATAACTGATTTGCATACCTTTTTAGAGAGTGATGCTTGTGTAATAATGTCCTTTGACCATAGGGGGACAGGTAAGGAGGGTCAGCATCTAAGCTTTGACAGAGTACAGCCCTTCATTTCAAAATCCTGTGGACAGAAAGACTTACGTCAGCTGTACTAAAATTCTAGGCTACTTGCCACAAAGTAGTTTATCAAGCAGAGAACAATATGGCCCCAAACAGCAATGTTTTGAGGTTAATGATGGAGGGACAGAATGCCCATTCCACTGGCTATTGCTTAGTTTACCCTGGAGAAGCTTTTTACAGGCATCCAAAGGGTGATGTGAACCATGGGTGCCCACCAGCATGCCCCTTCTCCCTGTGTCCCACTGCCCAGCTCAGGTTTATGCCCCCACAATCCTAGACTGCAGGACTCTGCTCTTTTTCAGCTCCCCAGCAAAAAGTCATTACCACAAGGCATCAGAGAGTAGCACCAACTTTACAAAGATGCCCTACAGTAGAAAGAGGAGGTGGTTGTATCACACACTCCATTACTATTACTATAGTATATTTTAGAATAACCCATGCAACATTTCTGTCCTCCCCAAAGTTCCTAACCCCGAGTGTACCTGCACTGTTCCTGCCCCCTTTGGACCTCTGCCCTCTGCCCCCTGGGATTTCTCCTTAAATATCTAATATTTATTGTCTCCCCCCACTGTCAAAGCACAGTAGCTTTATTTCTCCTTTGAAACTTGACCCCAGTCAACACCCAGTCCTTGGAGCCTGACCTTCCACTTAGAAACAGACTTATCAAGGAATGTCTTCAACAAAGGTAGTTTCTCCAGTTGGGAAGTCTAGTAAACTTTGCTAGGGTAAAAAAGCTGTCTTCAAATAGTTACATAAGGAGAGGCCGAAGGTGAGGTTCAAAAAGGATCTGGTGGGCCAGTCTGTGCTTTCTTCTTGATCCTTTGAAGGAAGGATCCGTCCTCAGGAATAGCCTAGGACTTGAAACATGGTGAATCAGCTGTTCAATAAATAGATGTGGAGTTAATACATAATGAAATTTGATGGCTGAAAGATTAAATGTTGTATAGAAATCTGCAACCCACACACCACACGCAGGTTGGACTCAGGATTCCACAGCGTGTCTCAGGGTACCCGAGATGGCGGACTATTCAACCACAGCGGGGACTCGAGCTCTCCTCCCCACCATGTCTCCTGTGAACTGGGAACCAAAACGCTGTTTCCCTGCTTGCACGTGTCCACAGGTATCCGGATGCTGGACCAGCCGTTCATGACAGACATCATCGAGGCCTCCTCCATCAGCCACATGCCCCAGCTGATTGACATCTACAGCGCCAGCTGGGGCCCGACAGACAACGGAAAGACAGTGGATGGGCCCCGAGAGCTCACGCTTCAGGCAATGGCTGATGGCGTCAACAAGGTAAAGTTGTTCCTGTCGCCACGAGGCTCTGATCCAGCACTGGGTGGGGGGCGCAGCGAGTGGAGAGAAGGTGACAATAGAAGAGGGCAGAGGGCGGAGGTGGTGCTGTTACCCTGTGCGTTAGCTCAGGTCCTGCGAGAAATGGACCCCAAAACCGGGTTAGACGTACAGATTTATTGGAGGGGACGCCTGTGAAGGATGACGGGGAGGCGACGGGAGGAGGCAGGGGGCGCCTTCAAACGCAGACGGCGACACGGGTCTGGCCCCTGCGAAGGAAGGGGAAGGAGGGCCCCACTCTTCCCTGGTGTTGGCGGGAAGGGGCCTGACCAGCGCCCCCACCCCGCCAGTCCTGGCTGGGAGCAGCATGCAGGCAATCAGGAGCCTGCACAAACTGGGCGGTGGATTCAAGAGGTAGCAGCGGGGGCTGTGAACCCACAAAGCTCCCAGGTAGGAGGTCTGAGCCGCGGGTCTCCTGTCTCCGTGGCCACAGCTCCCTGAGATCAGCCCAGGAACGGACAGAGCCAAGGAAACAGGAGGCAGAGCCTCCAGAGGGAGGGTGGCGAGGGGTTGGAGGATGGGGTGGCAGACGCGGGTCACTATGCTGGTCAGCGGCTGCACAGGGAGAGAGAGGAGATTCCCTCTCTGCCATCTCAGGGCAGGGGCCACCCCAGACAAGACTTGAGCCAGGCTCCGGGATCAGCCTCCCAGGGTTCCGGTCCCTGTTGCTCTGCTCAGTGTGAGCGTATATCCGCAAGTGACTTGACCTCACTGTGCCTTAGTTTTCTTGCCTGTAATATGGTGATAACCATACATTCCTCCTGGGATCCTGGTGAGGCGTAAAGAGATAATATGCAAGTGCTTCACACTGGGACCTGCCACACGAAGGGTTGGTTCTTGTCCCGATTATTATGGATGCTTAATCCACCGCCCCAAATTTTGTGACATAAAGCACAACGTTTTACTAGGTTTGTGGATTCTGTGGGTCAGGAATTCAGATGGGCCCAAGTGGGGATGCTTGTCTCTGCTCCACCAGCCTTGGACCTCAGCTGGAAGACTCCTAACTTGACTTTGCAAAATGCGTTTTCGCATGTTCCTGTGATGCACTAAATTCAGAATTTCTGCTTGTTGGTAACAACACCTACTACGCGGAGTAGGAATTTTGGCTCACTCAGTCTTTTTTCAGGGTTAGACTTGCCATCAGGTTGACACCAATGCCCTTCTCCATGCTTTCAGTTTCATCGTCTAATCTGCCATGGTGTGGGAATCACATCCCAAAGATTACAACAGTGATGTGTAGAGTAAGAGTAATCAGGTCTTAAATGAGGAAAAGACTTAAGTGTATGACGTTTAGAATATGAACTTTTGAAAATCAATTTTAAGAATATTTTAAAATTTTGCTTCTTGGATTTTGACAAATTTCAAATAGATAAAATGGCAATAGCCAAATTGGGATACATAAACTAGCACTATTATAAATAAATTATAAAATACATTTGTTTTCTGTATATTTTTAAATTATTTACAGTCTGTATATGGAAAATAAATAAGCTCATTACTTATACGTTTATAACAATAAAAGAGGTATCAAAACACAGTTTGTTTAACAGTAGCTTAGATGGGTAAAAATATTGAAGAAAATTAGAGTAAACAACTGAAGGTTACTTTTTCTTTTCTGTTTGTTTTTTTTTTTAGAGTTACAATATGCCAAGCATTGTTTTTTGGTGTGTTTTTTTCAAACTATAGTAACTATGCTCTACATTATACACCCAGAACTTATTTATCATGACACTGGAAATGTGTACCCTTTAACCAACATCTTCTCAATTCCCCCACCAGCTCTCACAGCCCCTGACAACCACCATTCTACTCTGTGTTTCTATGAGTTTGGGTTTTTTTAGTTGCCACATGTGAGATCATACCATATTTGCTTTTCTCTATCTGACTTATTTTCCTTAGCAAAATGCCCCAAGTTCCATCTGTGTTGTCACCAATGGCAGATTTTCTTCTTTTTATGGCTGAATAATATTCCAGTGTGTATGTATGTATGTACGTATGTATGTATGTATGTATGTGTGTGTGTGTCACATTTTCTTTATCCATTGTTGCATCGATGGACACTTAGGTATAGAATAATGCTGCAATAAATGTGGAAGCGCAGATATCTCTTCAAGATACTGATTTTATGTTCTGTGAATACATACCCAGAAGTGGGACTACAGGGTCATAAGGTAGTTCTATTTTTAATTTTCTGATGAGCCTCCATACTGATTTTCATAATGGCTGCCACCATTATGCCACCATTATATTCCCACCAACAATGCACAAGGTTTCCCTTTTCTCCACATGCTGCACAACACTTGTTACTGCTTGTCTTTTTGATAATAGTGAAGGCTACTTTTTGTATACGTTTTCTGAGGTCAGAGAATGAGTGTTTTTCTCTCCAGCTATTCCTCCTCAGGAATAGCCTAGGACTTGAAACATGGTGAATCCGCTGCTCAATATATAAATGGGGAATTTATACATAATGGAATTTGATGGCTGAAAGATTAAAAGTCTTATAAAAATCTTTAACAGGGGAAGCCTTTGGTGGCCCAGCCCTGGCTGCTGTGAGTGTTTGCTGCTGATGACTCACAGCTGCCCCTTCCCTGGAGAATTATCATGGCTGACGGGAGACCTCTTATCCAAAAGGTTCTGCACCCACCCACACCCAGGGGACAGCCACAGCCTAGGACGGACTGATTCAGATAGAAAAGGCCAGGCTGCTTATCTCCAGCAGGGACCACTCTGAGGTGCAATGTATGCTCCAGAGCTCCCAGTGAATCAAGCCAATGCTTGACTTTACTCAAGACCACATCATTTGGGGGTTCCTTCCCCTGCCTCTCCTGTTTTACTCCCTCACTCAGGAGCTTCTCCTGAGAGCTCTCC